AAAGATAAAAAAAAAGTGGCACACACACACACACACGTAATATATATATATATATATATATATATATATATATATCTATACATACATATATATAAGCAGCACAAGTATCGACTGAAGTACCTGCCCTCCTCTTCAAAAGCATCACTCAAAACCTAACTCGTAAAAAAATGACAAACACGTGCATTTACACTGACGATTTCTCGATTTGTTCCGAACCAAACGAAAACTAATAAATTCGAACAAAAATAGAATGCAAACCGGTTTAATTATTCACATTATTATGCGTTGAGAAAGAGAAAAGACCGAGTCATAATTTTTCCATGATAACAAAACCTTCTCATAATCACAATATATAATAACGCGAACCATATGATCGAGCTTATAATTTAGCAAAAAATCAAATCAGAAAAAAACCCATCTATCCATATTTTATAAGAATCAAATCACAAAAAAAAAAAAAAAAGATGCAGGAGTATTTGGTGACCGGAGGAACAGGTTTCATTGCTTCCCACATTGTTAAGTCTCTTCTCGAACTCGGGCACATTGTAAGAACCACTGTAAGAGATCCAGGTACTGATTATAGTTTCTGTCATATTTAAAATGTTTTTTTTTAATTATTTGTTTATTTTTGTGTAAATGTTGGATTTTTTTTTCATTGGGATGAAGGAGATGAAGGGAAAGTGGGTTTTCTGAAGGAATTGAAGGGAGCGAAAGAAAGGCTTAAGATTCTGAAAGCCGATCTAACGGTTGAGGGAAGCTTTGATGAGGCAGTGGACGGTGTAGATGGAGTCTTCCACACGGCATCTCCTGTTCTTGCTCCTCATGACAACATTCAGGTCACATTCAAACACATATATTCACTATATCTATATATAAATATTTGTGTGTGTATATATATATATATATATATATATATATATATATATCCTGTTCAAACACATATCCTGTTCGTGTTCCTACAGGCCACTTTGGTTGATCCAATCATAAAGGGCACAACCAATGTGCTGAATTCCTGTTCAAAGGCCAAAGCCACTCTTAAAAGAGTTGTTCTAACTTCTTCTTGCACCGCAATCCGATACCGTTTCGACGCCACGCAAGCGTCCCCGCTCAACGAATCTCACTGGAGTGATCCCGAATATTGCAAACGCTTCAACGTAAGAAATATATTCGAAATCGTGATTTTCTTTTTTTGCATTGATATTTCTATAGGATCATGTGAATTGACTGTTGGATTAATGGGTCGGGCGAAAAATCAAAGCTTTGGTACGCATATGCGAAGACTCTAGGTGAGAAAGAGGCTTGGAGGATCGCCGCCGAGAAAGGATTAGATTTGGTGGTTGTGAACCCTTCGTTCGTGGTCGGTCCATTGCTCGGACCGAAACCCACAAGTACCCTTCTCATGATCCTCGCCATTGTCAAAGGTCGTATATAACTCTCTCTCTCTCTCTCTCTCTCTCTCTCTCTCTCTCTCTCTTCATAGGAGCACACTCTCACTCTTTTTCTCCATCTATACATGCGTATCAATCAGAATGTAACGATTTTGCCTTTGTATGTTGATCTCATATCTAGGGCTTGCGGGCGAATACCCGAATTTCACGGTAGGGTTCGTGCACGTAGACGACGTAGTTGCAGCTCATATACTCGCCATTGAAGAGCCTCGAGCATCAGGGAGAATCATATGTTCGAGCTCAGTGGCTCACTGGTCTGAGATCGTCCCAATGCTTAGAGCCAAATATCCGTCATACCCATTTGAGAACAAGTGAAATATTTGAAACTAAACCCTAAATTACCATTCTCATCAAAACCCTAAAAAGTTCATACATTTGATGTGTCAGTGGCAAATTTTTTTTTTTTCCAGGTGCAGCAGCAAAGAAGGGAACGATCAACCTCACAGTATGGACACGGGGAAGATACGAGAATTGGGTTTTTCGTCATCATTCAAGTCACTGTCTGAGATGTTCGATGACTGTATCAAGAGTTTCCAGGACAAATCTCTTATCTGAACTCACTTCCATCAAACACCACGAAGAATAAATGGAGATATTCGCTGTTATATCGAACTTTGGTTAAACTTTATATATAGATCATATAACCTATAGTTGGTTCTCAGTTCTGAATTGAAAGATCGCTGAAATAATGTGTGACAAAGTTCCCGATTAGTTGTTGGACCGACCACCTGCAAATGTGTGTAACGTTCTTACAACTCGAATGTCACGTCTGATGTGAAATCATAAAAAGAAAATTTGAATGAAAACCCTATATCCTCCATTTGTTCTTCCCTACAAATGCCTGAAAATAACACAAAACTTTGCAACAACAACAAAAAAAATTTAGATCTCACAAAAGTTATCTTTTTCGTTTTGTGAACTGTAGATATTTATATATACCGTGGTGGAACCATGTATACTACAATCGGGTCCTTTGTCCCCATTGTTTTAATTAAAATATATTAATTTTTTTTATAAGTTTTATAATTTTTTTAAAATAATAATGTTAAATGCCTGTATTAAAATATTAAAATTACTTTGACCCTTTCATAAATTATGCTAGATCCGTCACTATATATATATATATATCTATATATCATGCCACCAGTACTTTGTTTCGTCCTCAAAATATTTAATGAGTCTAATTGCATAATCGGAATTTAACTAGAGTACGGTTTTTCAAGCGCTTTTAGTAAACAAGTTTAATAAAAAAAACATAGTAAGGGAAAATTACATTAACAACCCTTATCCATATTTATTAAAACGAAATTAAACCCTTTCATTTAGTAAAGAAAAACACTTTAAACCAAACGTTTCTCCCTTAAACAAAAAAAAAAACCAAACGTTTCTGAGTAAGCTAACTGTGCTTACGTGGCTCGAGGTTTACCACGTCCTTTTCACGATTTCCATGTTACAAGAGAAAGAAAAAATCTAAGGAAGGCATGTCTTGTCATCTTCCTCGTCCACACATCTTGTCTGATAAAAAGAAAACTGAAGTGAGGTCATAATGGACTGCAACCCAACCGATCCTCGCTCTTCCTCGGCAATCTCTGACCTTTGATCGATCGTCTCCGGCCGAAAATCTCTCTCTCTCTCTCTCTCTCTCTCTAATAGCAAGTATATTCGGTATCACTTATAAAAGGAAACAATCATGTTATGTTATGTTATGTATCCACTTTCCTTTGCTGTCGATACTAGGTTAGAAACAATGTAATGTATATATACTCTGTTATGTTTCACTCAAGAAACCACATTCTTTTTTGCCGACATTGCTTTATGTCTCATAATCTGACATGGTATCAGAGCGTGAAACACACAAATCACCGATCTGAACCTTGACTAAATGTCTACTGACTCCGAACACTCGACCCCGACCCCGATTTCTCCGACCGCCGACCCTCGTATTCCTCCGAATCCGCGATGAATGCAGCAACGAACCGAGAACCTGCCATGGCTCTTCGACGAACGATATCTCCATACGATCTCACTCCGAGTGACAACCCGGGATTAGTTTTATCACAGCCGCTGCTGCGTGGTGATAACTACGACGAATGGTCCATAAACGTTCGTCAGTCCCTCAAATCTCGCAAGAAGTTCGGTTTTGTGGATGGCTCGATCGCTAAACCCGATGCAAGTTCAGCAGATTTTGAAGATTGGGACACTAACAATGCTCTTATAATGTCCTGGATCAAAAATACTCTTGAACCATCTCTTCGATCCGATGTGATTCACAGAGAATATGCAACTGATTTGTGGGCGTATCTGAACCGACGATTTGGCAAAGCAAATGCCCCTCGACTGCTCCGAATTCGAAGTGAACTCGCAAACTGTCGCCAACTGGGTATGACAGTTGCTGCGTATTTTGGAAAACTTACGAAACTTTGGGATGATTTGGCTAATTTCCGAACATTGAAGAGTGTAAGTGTGGTCATTGCTCCTGCGATATTGCCGTCCTTGCTTGAGAAAGAACGAAACGAAGATTGGCTTTATGAATTTCTGCTCGGACTGGATGATACGCGCTACGAGATTGTCCGATCTAATCTCCTCTCTCGACAACAATTGCTAACTCTGGAAGAAGCTTATAATGTTGTTGCTCAAGAAGAGGAATCAAAACAGATCCATCAGTCTCGTGATAAGACATCAGAGGCAGCTGTTTTCTCTGTCAAAACCAAGCCTCGACTCCCACCTGCTGATAAAGACAAAGTTGTTCTGTGCACCAACTGCAATCGCACCGGACATCTTGCCGACGTCTGTTTTCAGCTAGTTGGTTACCCTGACTGGTGGGGTGATCGACCTCGGACCAGAACTGAAGCATCTCGAGGAAGAGGAAGACCATAACTTGGAATATCTGTTACTGATCGCACTGTCGAACAGATTGCACGAGCCAACGCTGCGTACACAACTCCTGCAGACATCGGCGATATGAAGAATCCCAATGTCTCTGGAATTTCACAAGATCAATGGAAAACACTGATTAGTCTCCTCAGTGCAAATCAAGTCGACACTTCTGAAAATCTCTCTGGTAAGCACTCTAGTTCCTCCTGGATTATTGATACAGGTTGCTCCCATCATATGACCGGTGACATGTCCTCTCTGATTGCTGTAAGTTCTGTATCTCCGATTTCTGTGATTCTACCGGATGCTCGTCATGTTGTTTCGGATAAATCGGGGACTGTCTCTCTCGGCAACAATTTCCGATTATCCAACGTTCTGTTTGTCCTAGGCCTTCGGTGCAATTTGATCTCAGTATCTCAGCTTTTGGATGACACCGACTCTAGCGTCACCTTTGCTCGTGATTTGTGTGTTCTTCAGGACCGCACTACCAAGACGATGATTGGAGCGGGTGAACAAAGGGATGGACTGTACTATTTTTGTGGAGCAGAAACAGTTGCAGCGACACGGATACAGAATAGACAGTCAATTGAGTTATGGCATCAACGGATGGTCCATCCCTCTTCTCAAATTCTCAGTAAGATTTCAATTTTGGATTTTCCGATTAATGTTTGTTCTGCATCTCAACATTGTGATGTGTGTTTGCGAGCAAAACAAACACGTGATTCATTCCCTTTGAGTACCAATAAAAGTTCGGCGATTTTTCAGTTAATTCACTGTGATATATGGGGGCCATATCGCACTCCGTCATTTTCGGGTGCACAATATTTTCTTACCATATTTGATGATTACTCTCGGATTGTCTGGATTTATCTCCTCAAAAGCAAAGTCGAAACATCCTGCAAACTTCGACAATTTATTTCCATGGTCGACCGTTAGTTTAATGCATACGTCAAGGTAGTCCGATCCGACAACAGATCAGAATTTATAAGCATGCGAAACTACTTCTGAGATCATGGAATTTTGCATGAAACATCATGTATTGGAACACCACAACAAAACGGTCGTGTCGAACGTAAGCATCGACATATTCTCAATGTTGCTAGGTCGTTAATGTTTCAAGCTCATCTCCCGATCTAATTCTGGGGAGATAGTGTTCTCACCGCAGGATATTTAATAAATCGAACTCCATCGGCGGTTCTAAAGGGTCGAACACCTTATGAAGTCCTTCATGGCTAAAAACCGAAATATGACCATCTTCGCGTTTTTGGCAGCCTTTGTTATGTGCACAACCAAAGACATGGTGGAGATAAATTTGTTAGCCGCAGTATTCGGTGTCTGTTTCTTGGTTATCCCTTGGGTCAAAAGGGATGGAGGGTTTATGATCTAGAGACAAAACGCATTTTTGTTTCACGAGACATTGTTTGTTGTGAAGGAAAATTCCCTTTCCAGAAGTCTGTATCATCAACTGAAAATTCTTCACAACCAGTTCAGCAAGTTCTCCTGATTCCAGATGATGATTATTTGCCTGATCATCCACTCGATTCAGTCTTGGTCTCCATCGACTCTGTCTCTGGCTCTGGATCATCACAGGTCACAGCCCCCTCGGGTTCCTCCTCCAGTTTCTCTCTTGCATCGAGCTCAGACCCACCTGATCCTTCGGTATCGATGAACAGATCTGCAACACGCCCAGCATCTGACCACGAAGCTGCACCAGAACCTGAGCAAATCTCGCAGCCGGAATCTGTTCTTGGCAGGGGACACAGACAACGTTTCCAGAGTACCAGATTAAAGGATTTTGTCGCAAACGTTGTTCAGACAAATCAATTTCCAGTTGCACTGTCGGCAACCATCGCCCCTGCACCTAAGTATCCAATTGCAGATGTTGTTTCTTACAACAACATTTTTCCAACACATCGAGCATACTTAGCTGCAATCGATTCTGATTTTGATCCGAAGACATATACTGCAGCAGTCAAAGATGAAAAATGGAGAATAGCAATGAAAGCTGAAATACAAGCTCTCGAAAACAATCAGACTTGGACTGTTGAATCTCTACCTTCAGACAAGAAAGCAATCGGGTGTAAGTGGATCTTCCGAACCAAATACAAGTCTGATGGCACGATCGAAAGACACAAAGCTCCATTGGTTGTACTTGGAAACAAACAGACTGAGGGTGTCGATTACGGCGAAACGTTTGCTCCAGTCGCCAAGATGACAACCGTTCGGACATACCTTGCTTCGGTTACTGCTCGCAATTGGGAAGTTCACCAAATGGACGTCCATAACGCGTTCCTACACGGTGATCTTCATGATGCGGTTCACATGAAACTACCACCCGGTTTCACTCCGTCCAAACCGAATCAAGTTTGCCGACTCCGTAAATCTTTATACGGATTTAAACAAGCTCCTCGGTGTTGGTTCGCCAAGCTCGCTTCGGCGTTGCGTAGGTATGGTTTTGTCCAGTCTCAGTCTGATCATTCACTTTTCATTTTCGACAGAGATTCAACTCAACTGCATGTGCTAGTTTATGTTGATGATCTCCTTGTGACCGGAAACGCGATATCGGCTGTGCAAGAATTCAAAAAATATCTCAGCTCTTGCTTTCACATGAAAGACCTTGGACCGCTGAAATATTTCCTTAGGATTGAGGTTGCTCGAAGCTCGGTCGGTATTTCCTTGTCGCAGCGGAAATATACGCTAGATATCCTGCAAGAAACGAGTCTTCTTGCTGCAAAATCAACCTTCATTTCGCTCGACCAGAATCACAGATTATCCATTTCGACTAGTCCAGTTTTGTCGGACCCCGAACCGTATCGAAGATTGGTTAGACGCTTACTATATTTACTTGCCACTCGACCCGATATTACATATGCCGTTCACACCTTGTCTCAATTTATGCAAGAACCCCGCCAGGATCATTGGGGTACCGTTTTACGCGTGGTTCGTTTCTTAAAACGAAATCCGGGACAGGGGATCTTGCTCAGAGTAGACTCGGATCTTCGGTTATATGCTTGGTGTGATTCTGACTGGGCAGGTTGTCAAAAATCCTGAAAATCCCTATCCGGTTGGATTATTCAGCTAGGACGCTCACCAATCTCATGGAAGTCGAAAAAGGAACCGACCGTCTCGCTTTCTTCCACTGAGGTAGAGTACAGGGCAATGGCAGTCACTACATGCGAACTCCTCTGGCTAAAGGGACTCTTGCGTTCTCTTGGTATTCTACATTCTGATCCTATGATTCTACGTTGCGATAGCCAGACAGCGCTTCATATTGTCGCGAACGACGTTTTTCATTTTCTTAGGCATCATGTAAGCTCCCTCGACATTGCAACTCGTCATGTCTCTACAACGCAACAACTCGCAGACATATTTACCAAGCCACTCGGCCGGAAGGAGTTTGATACGTTTTTACTCAAGTTAGGCATTCACGATCTTTATGCTCCAACTTGGGGGTAATAGCAAGTATATTCGGTATCACTTGTAAAAGGAAACAATCATGTTACGTATCCAGTTTCCTTTGTTGTCGATACTAGGTTAGAAACAATGTAATGTATATATGCTCTGTTATGTTTCACTCAAGAAACAACATTCTTTTTGGCCGACATTGCTTTCTGTCTCACACTCTGACACACACTCTCTCTCTCTCTCCGCTCAGCTCAGGTGTGTTTACGGTTTAGCTCTCTCTCTCTCTTTTTTTCTCTACGTTAGCTTTGTCGTCGTCCGTTATAATCAGAGATATATTCGTTCTCTAAATAGGATTTTAGTCTTTCGATTTCTATATACGATTGGTGTTTTGTTTTGGTTTGATTCAATGTCGTATGTGTATAAATAGAGTTAGGTTTCCGAGTTTCAAGTACTCGTCACGAGATACAGATCATGTTTTAATGTTTTTAAAATTAAAAATTCGGGTTAGGGTTTATATTTGTATTTTCGTATGCGGGTATCCAATAAAAAATAATAATCATTTTAGAAAATGAAAAAAATATCTATTAATATCTAATTATTTTTCTTTTATTTATATAAAAAAATATTAATTATAGTTTTATGATCTAATTGTTTTATAGACACAGAAAATGACATTTTTTTACACCAATTTAGTAAAATGTGACCTTTTCCTACACGAATTTTTAATTTGACAAAAATCTACATTATATTATCAAATGTCCCAAATCTATACACGAATTACCCAATTTTACTACAATTTACTACACAATCCGAAACGGTGTTAAAATATCAAATATCATATATATATATATGTATTGCATATATTTATATATATATACATGTATATGTGTATATGTATTTATATATGTGTATGTGTATATACATATAAATATATTTGTATATATATGTATTTTTTTTTAAATTTTTTAATTTTTTTTTGAAAATCTGACGTGGTATATTGACGTGACAAAAGTTTTCACGTGATCTTCCACGTCAGCCGCCACGTGACCTTCCACGTTAGCAATTAACGGACATTTTAACTTCGTTTCGGATTGTGTAGTAAATTGTAGTAAAATTGGGTAATTGGTATATAGATTTGGGACATTTAATAATATAGTGTAGGTTTTTGTCAAATTAAAAATTTGTATAGGAAAGGTTACATTTTACTAAATTGGTGTAGAAAAATGTTATTTTCTCTTTTAGATATAAATATTTTTAAGATTTGAATTTTTAGTTTTAATCCAAATATATTTAAAAACTATCATATTCGGATATCGACGGATATCCCAAAATTATCACGTAAATAATATAATTCGGGTTCGCGTTTGGATTGTAAAACATACGGTTCGCGGGATTCAAATTCGGATTCAAATACCTTGAAAATTTTGGGAATGGGACGAATGCCCACCTCTACCTTGGTTTAAATTGAAAAGAATAATGCATCATTCCGCAAATATTTCGTGTTTAGGACTTAAATTCGAGTACTTAAATAAAATAAAAAAAAATTCGAGTAGGAGAATCATGGAGTTCGGCTTTCCCAAAGTTTGTTTCAAAAAAAAAAAAAACTGGAAATGTAGAACAAGGCTTAAATGGGCTGGTCCAAACTCAGCCCACAAATTATTCAATATAATCTGTAACGGATTCTCTAATGTCTTAACCTAAACAAAATCCATGTTTTTTTACATAAGGTCAAATAAATAGGAGAAAGTGCCGGAGTATTTGGTCACCGGAGGAACAGGTTTCATAGCTTCAAACCTTATCAAGACACGGTGAGAACCTGTGTTAGAGACCCAGGTACTTAAAGATTCTTCTTCTCCACCCGACAAGATCCTTAACAGTTTGCTGCAACTGTTCTTTTCTTGAACCTCTGTTATAGTTCACTCTCTTTTTTTTTTGGTCTGTTTTCGAAATTGTGATGGAAGGAGATGAAGGGAAGGTGGGGTTTCTAAAGGAATTGAAGGGTGCCAAAGAAAATCTCAAGATCTTCAAAGCCGATCTAACCGTTGAAGGAAGCTTTGATGATGTTGTCGATGGCGTTGATGGAGTTTTCCACACGGCATCTCCAATTCTTCTTTCTCCTCAGGACGAAGATATTCCGCTCCGACAACATAGTTTTGTATATATCAACTTATTCAAGAATCAATCATTGTTTATAAAACGGGGTTGGTGTTATTTACGAGGTCTTCGAGGATCGTATCCGAATTCAAGAGGAGGGTTTGTGCACATAGATGATGTAGTTTCTGCACACATAATCGCCATGGAAGAGCCGATCGAAAGCATCGGGAGGAATCATATGTTCGGGTTGTAACTTGTATGGCTCATTGGTCTGATATCATTGAGATGTTAAGATCAAAGTATCCATCATACCCGTATGAGAAAAAGTAAGTATAACATACATACATACAGGGTGTCAAAATGACCGGGTCGGGCCGGCCTATCCCAAACCCGATAAAAGCACGAATATTTACAAGTCGGACGGCCCGAAACATGAACGGACCTAAAATCTTCGGTTTGGAACCCAACCCTATGGACTTTTTTGGATTCGGATCGGACTTAAAGTTTTTAAAAAATTACAAAAAAAATAAAATTGTAAAATAAATAAGATAATTAAAATAAAAAAATTTAATACTATCTCGCGATAATAAAAAGATAAAAAATTCGGTAACAAAGTTATATATTTTGATTTAATATAAATTTAAATTCTTTAACTTTATATGGTAATAAAGTATTTAAAATATTAAATTATTATATTTTTCACTTGGAATAGTTATTTAAAACTAATGGTATTATAATTTTGATTATATTATCTATGAAAATATTATATCCTAGATTATTCAGTGTTAAACAAGTTTTAGTTTTTTTACAATTCTCTATATTATATAATATTTTTATATTTTCTTTCTTTTATATATATATATATATATATATATAATTTATATTTAAATCGGGTCTATGGACCGGGTCTGAGCCGACGAACAAACGGAGTTTGATTTTGAAACCCAAACCCATAAAATTTCAAACGTACGTTACGCATGCACGCATGTATAATACGTTCGCTGAAGATGCGTACATATACAAGAAGTGAAACAAGTGACTGAGTGAGGATTGACTTTTGTATCAGTCGCAGGCCATTGGATTAAACAAATGTTTTTGTGGGGACGAATTGGGGATCCAGCTGTAACTTATAAATACATAAATAGATAACCCTTTTTTTAATATAAAAACTTTGGATTAAACGGGCAAAGAAATTTGTCACAGAGCCCTTAAATTCGAGAGGGTTAATTCATATTCAAGCTTCCACCTTTCTTCACGAGAAAAGAAAATTTAAATTAGCTATTGTTATCAACTCAAAACCCAACTTTGAAATTGTTCTGAATATGGATTTCATCGTTCAAAATCATCAAGAAAACGGCGGGGACATGACGAACAAGACAACCAAAGGACAGAGCAGAAGATGAAAAAGACAGAACCAGGAAACATAAATTAAACGCCTCGATTACCATAAAAATTTTCAGAACACAAAAGGGGATGAACCAAAACAAGATCTTGAGTGAAACCCCCCTTCGGGAAGGCTCTAATAGCACATGAAAAAACCCTAAGGGGGGATTAAAGTCTGAGACCAACTCTGTTTTCCACTGGCATCATCCCTCTTCCTTCAGAAACAGAGCAAGCAAACTAGAAAAGACATCCTCGGAATCACACCAAACTGATGTGTTCTGCAAATACAAAACCTCACAAGAACATGTTTCTTGAAATTTTAAAAATCCTATTGGCTGCAAAACTTTCAAGGGCAAGCGATGTTGAGGGGGGCAAGCTGGTCGGAGAAGGTGTACTTCGAATCACTGAGCTCAAAGTCGCAGTCTGCAAAGTCAAAGTCCGGTAGCTCGCTCGGGCCGCCGCCGCCTTCAAACCCGACGTTGAACTGATCGAGCAAGCAGAAATCATCGGGCAACTGTTCGGAATCGTCCATGAGGAAACAATCAAAGTCTAGCTCCTGGCCATGTGCGCCAGCAACCAGAGGCTCCTCCATGAAGAAACCCATGTCTGGAATCTGCAGATCGGCAAAGTTAAAGTCGAACAATGGATCTTTGATCGAATCACCGGATGCCAAATCAATGTTCGAGACCATCCCGTCTTTCCTGAGATCAGAACCATCGGTAGAGACAGGGGCTGAAGCAGAGGTATCCAGCTCAAGAACAGGAGAAGAACGCGAACACTGGCTGTTCTCAGATCCCACGGACGAGGAGACTGCAAGTTTGACGCCATTTGAGCGGTTCTCAGAGACAGAGGCCGATCCAGAAGACACGACCAAAGCATCAAACTCAACCTTCTTATCAGCATAAGCCTTAGCGGCTTCTTCAAGAGTTCCAAAAGTACCCAACCATGTCCTGGCCTTAGTGATGGGGTGTCTAATCTCAGCAGCCCATTTCCCCCATTTCCTCTGCCTAACCCCGACAGGTTTGTTCGAAAAGCTACGAGCTTTCTTGATGGGGTTTTTGGTGGAGGGGACTTTGACGCCATGGGTACTGTCCTGGGAAGAACTCTCGGAGAGTTCGATACGACGAACCAGAGGCTGCTGAAGGGGAAAAAGGTTGATTTCACGGACAAGACGCTTTGGTTTTGGAGGTTTAGGGTAATCAAATTCTTCGTCGCTTGAAGAATCATCGGTGGCATAAGGATCATTGACAAAGACACGAACTTTTCTAAGTGGTTCGGTTTCTCGAGGCAGAATCTGCGAGACAGGCAAAGTGTTCATCTTATGTTTCTTGGAGGGGCTTATGTCAGTATGGCTCGAAGACCGTTTCCTACGTTCTGCCATTTGATCGGTCTCCCCCCTCTCCCCTCAAACTATACCCAGAAATATCAGAAAATCACCCAAAACTTATCCGATCAAAACTATCGAATCAAAGGAAGCGCCTATAAAAAAATCTCAGCTTGAATCAGCGAAATATGAAGAAGGGTTGTTTTTGTTTTATGTGAAAACCTCCAAAAACTTCAACGCCAGAGCAAGTCCTGAAGATAAAATCGACACAGAGAAGCTAAAAATCACAGATTTGTTCAGCAAGAACACAGAGAGGATGAAGATTAGGACAAAGAAACAAAAAGGGTGACTAAAAAATCATACCTTTTGGGCCGTAAACGCATGGAAAGAGACGGAAACTCAAGAATCAGCCTCTGCTTAGAGCAGAAGTGAAGGGCGTTGAGGAGAGCTTTCAGACCAGAGAACGAGGAAGACGAAGGAGTGGTTGTAGTAAAGGGAAAAGAGATTTGAAACAGAGACAATATCACTGCCGATTCAAACCCAGCCGACATAAAATCCGCTTCACAAACGCCGTAGATCTCTTCCGGTTTCTCCTCGAGACCAAAGAGAGGTTTCTCACTGTTCCTGTTCTTAAAAAAAACAGAGAACCCAGATGAAAAAACCTCCAGAAAACGATGATATAAACGAGGAAGACAGCTAAAACCCTAAAACAGAGAGAGAGAGAGAGAGAGAGAGGGGGGGGGGGGGACCAAGTCCAATAACGATAATAACTGCCCCTCGCAGATTTTACTCCTTGGAAAGCAAGGC